TTAAAGGGGGTTTGGATGGGCCACTTGAATGGTCGGTCTGGTGCGAAGTTATGGGAAAGTGAGTGTGATGGCCAGCTGGCAGGTGTCCAAATGGGTGAGATTGCTGCCTGTTGTGTCGATTCAATGAAACATCTCTTTGCAGTGTCTACATTTATGAGGGGCAGGCTTTATATCTCCCCAATATGCACATGCCATAATATGTTGATTTTGACTCAAAGTTATAGGCCGTGCAGTACATTAAATTTTGTTTGCTGCAGTTTGACCCACATAGCACAAGCCCCCACTCCCGGAACAACATCTGTACATTGCAATGCACACAATGAATGGTATGTTTATTAGTAACACTGTGACCATCAATTGAAAAAATATTGTTGGTGTAACGGAACGGCTTGTGAACAATTACTACATACATTCAAAGTATCAGGTAGCATGATAGATATGCTTGACAGTTTCCTTGCGGCATGCAACTTGATGTTGCACAAGCCGCAAGCACTGTGCTGCCTCCCAATTTGGTCATATGCCCAGCTAAGATCTTTGTACAGCAATCAAATTATATATCTTGTTGGTGGAAGCCCGCTGGGAGTTCCAACACACCAATGCTATTCACTAACTCCAAAGCCTGCAGTATCTGCAAAAGCGACGATGGTGTGTGGCAGTTCTGTGTGCTCCATAGATGCTCGATTGTCGGCCCTTGTTCTGCCCTCTCCCTGCAGGTACAGCAACCTTGTGTTGGTCGATGGAGCAGGCATCATTTCAGCTTGTGCCCACCAGGTGGGGAAGAAGATGTCAAGTGTGCGGCAGCTTCAAGTTGGGGGAGCATATGGGCCCCCACCGCAGCAGAGCGGCATTGCACCAACACGTTCTGTCGCCATGGAGGTATGTCATATATTGCTTGTTAGCACTTTTTGTCATGTCGAGTGCTATGCCCTGTAAAAGTGTCAGACACTATCTGGCATTGTCTTGGAATACATCCAGGACTCCCCCTTGCAATCATAGTGCAAGCCTGGCGATGGCTGGCTCTATCTGTTGTGTTCAAGTCAAATCCTGATAGCTGAACAGCTGTTACGAACAGTGCAGTTCACAGTTGTCATGGCAGTGGATGATTTGGTACTTCGTTGTTTGCTGTGAAATTTGATATGTTGTGGGGACATATTATTAACCTGTCAGGCAATTGTTGTCTTGTGTGCCTGGTATGGAGCAGGATATGCCATGAAAAGGTTTTTCTTGTGTGATGGAAGCTTTGCAATACGTGTGTGCGTCGTCATTACTGCATTGGATGGTGTGTACCTGCAGACGATGTCAGCTCCATGATTGTTTGCCAAATTTTGCTGGGAAATCACGGGGCCAAGTAGAGTGCAGTTGCAAATGGCCCCCAGTACGCTGGTGCAATGGCTCTATTGGGCTGTTGTTCAGGATTGGAGAGAGATCATCAAGCGCACAGCTTCTGAACTGTTGGGACAATCTTCAGATTGTTCCCAAGCAGTGGGACCTGCCATTATTCGTGCCTTCCAGGGGGTGAGTCCCAGTTTGGCAGAGGACCTCCTTGCCAGGGCTGGCATTGACATGTCGCATCCTGTCAAAGAAGTGTCGGACGCCAACTGGGAAGCGATGTACAGGGAGTGGCAGACTTGGACGGAAGCGATTGCCAATCTTCAGTTTGTACCAACTTGGGAGAAAGAGACTGGCAGGTAATGAGTTGATGCTTGTCTCTGTAAACGACAGAAATCTGATGGGCGCATTGCGTTAGGCTTGTTTTGTTCCTATTTACTGTTTTCTGTGGGTCTTTTTTATAATGGATACTGTGAACGTGGAAAATTTATGCAAGTGTGGAGCTTCTGTGCCAGACTGCATGAAAACCCATGGACTACGCGAATAGCTGTACGAATCCTACAGACTCAACTGCTTGGATTGCATGTGTTGGGTTTGGTCTTTGCGTGACCTGTACGTGCAGAAAAATAATGCCTAGTGGTCTATATCAGATGCAATCTCAAGAGTTCCTGGAGTCCCTACAATGTGCTCTGTTCTAGATGTGCTGGCTTTCAATCATTGTAAATGCTGAACGTGATACCACGCTTGCAGCACATGCTTTCAAACCCGTATTGAGCTACACTGCCAGTTGGCTGTTGCTGCCAGACATGGTTGACATACCGAGACATGGACTGCTGCTCATGCGCTCGAGAAAGGAATCCTGTGATCCCAAACTGACTGAAAGTTGACCCTTGCTGAATGTGTTCAGTTGATTGAGCAGAGAACTGTCTGTTGGATGGCTAACATGATGCAAGTTGCAGATATTCTCTCCTTGGCTCATACTCCTCGAAGTACACATTCGCAGATGAGCTGCTTGATGAGTTCTACCTGCAGTTCCTGTCCGGGGAGGAACATGCCCAGTTGCAACAGCAGCTGAGCAGCGTTATTGCACGTCAGCTGAAGAAGGCAAACGGCAAAGTCAAGACACTGAGGACGATGGCAGAAGGCACTGCTGAAGCGGATGGCACACAAAAGAAAGCTGATATCATAATGGCAAACCTGCACAGGTGAGGTGCAGTCTGAACATCCAGGGCTGTTGTGAACCAGCTTGTGTGCGAATTTCTGTTTTCATGGGGTGAGTCAGGATGTGTTGTGAAGCTGGATGGCAGGCGTTGGCTTTGTGCATTTGTCATGGCCCTCAGCATTTAATACTGTCCATACACGGCTGGTACAAATCTGGAGTCCATCTCTGCTGGCATAAAACAAATCGTGCACGTGTTGATGGAGACCTTGGTTGCCTGCTGTCTGTTGTCAAGGTATGGTGAATTTCCTCAGGTCTGGTACCATGCCTGGCAAGCGCCCTTTGCATTCGTTGCGGAACAACATACCACAATCGATGTCACTCACCGCAGGTCTGGACAAGGCGACGACGTTGCGGTTCTTGTGTTGTACCCAGTGCAGGTGCCAAGATGGGGCCTCCGAATTGGAGGCTGAAGACTGGGACACTGGCGAGACAGTGGTCATAAAACTAGATGCTGCCAAGTCGGTGGTGGCTGTTGCCGAGGGCTACTACAAGAAGGCCCGAAAACAACGGCGGGCCAGGGATGTCGTCGGCCCTTTGCTGGAGGAGGCTGAGCAAGAAGTCAGCTTCCTGCTGGAGGTTCAAGAGAGCGTGGAAGAGTTGCGGATTTTCGAGGAGGAAGCTGACCTCGAGGCGTTGAGGGAGATCAAGGTGTCCCACGTTTCTAGTCTGTCGGAAATCTCCACTCAGAGATGGGGAGAGAGATGTGATCTGAAGCGCATGGATCTGTCAAGTCGGACGTTTGTCATGCGGCGATCTTTCTGGCATGTCCTGCTGGTCATAGCTTTGAACGTTGAAGGCTCGCTGCAGACAGACGGAAATTGTGCACGTGCAGCACATCTGCGTTCGAAAAGCTCCCTGCAGACACCTATCAGCCAGCTGCCGGGACTCAATCACAATGTCTTGCCACAGTTGATGTGTCGCGTTTTGATGAATTTGCTGTGCCCTTCAGGAAGACCTCATTGCCAGCAAGTACATGAAAGCTCCACCCGAATCGGCACTGGCTTCGAAGGCAGCCTCAAAGGCAAAGAAAGCGCGCCGGGCACCGGCCAAGAGCTTGGCGGAGGGGCCGGAATCGGGTTTCCGAAGGTTCTCCACCCCCAACGGCTTCTCTGTTCTTATCGGGCGCAACAATCGACAGAACGATCTCCTGTCCCTGAAGGTTGCCAAGGGCGATGATTTGTGGTTCCACGCCCGGGGCGTACCTGGTGCGCATGTGGTCCTCAAGGCCCAGAGCGGTAGAGACCCAGAGCACGAAGACGTCCTGTGTGCAGCGAACCTTGCAGCCTGGTTCTCAAAGGTGAGCTTCGTAGCGCCATTGGGATTTCTGGCGTGGCGGTGCAGAAATCCTATTCTTTCAATATGCTTCCCAGGCCGGCAGAGCTAGTATATATATATATATAGGCATGGAAGCGTGTACCTTCGTGGAGTTGTGAACTTGCCCCATATCTGGCACCCATATTACATGGATATTGTTGTAAAGTGTCATCCATTCGACTTATGGTTTCATAGACAGCACCAACGATCGTGGGAAAGGCTGTCCCTTGGTCACTTGGCATATCTGACCAACTGGCCGTTGCAGTGTGCATCTATGCTCATTCTTAATGTGAAGCCCGCCCTCCAGGATCTCATGATACTCGAATCCATAACTGTGATAGAGAGCACATAGTTGATCTCCCTGTCCTTTCGCTTGGGACTGCTGTAGCCCACCTGGGTGGCTGGCTTAATGTTCATCCTGTGGTGGTGTGCACCCTGCGATGTTTTCGCTCATTTGACAGGTCATCTGCTGCAGGCAAAAAACGACAGTAAAGTGAACGTGACACAGACAACGGGGGCGCACGTGTCCAAGCCGAAAGGAGCACCGCCAGGGCTCGTATCAGTTTCGAAGGAGACTGTTGTTGTAGCAAAACCCCACAGGAGCATGGCAGTCCAATCCCAAGACTTGCGAAAATAGCTGCACTTTGTAATTGCGTTATGTGTTGGTGGTCGAGTCATCCACTGCTGAGTGCAAGAAAAGCTTCCCATGGGGTGTTTATAGCGTCAATGAACTGCATCACCTTATGATGCTGACAGGGATGCGTATTGCCTGTGCATCAGATGACTTCCTACACAGAAGGTGCCTCTCCAGTGTAGAGTTTGCATGTGTCCTTTGAAGATGTCAACGCGTTGATGCACAGTATGCGGTGTAGACATGGGCAGTAGTTCAATTGTTTCCGAATGGTGAAGGACAAGTCTCTTACATCACCGCAGCTGTTGGAGGCACACTTGACTGCCACAAGCTTTGCAAACAGATCTGTGCTGCTTGACAGCAAAAAACAGTGTGCATATCAACAACAAAGGACTACTATTCCAACAGCTGCAATTTGCTGAGTTCGTTGGTGTGCAATGCAGCAGATGGGTGCAACGCCAGTGCATGCAACTATCAGGCAACCATTCATTGTTGGACCAATGGCAGCAGGGAAACTCCAGCATTCACTGATGGTAACGTGCAGTAAGCTGTTACGAACGTCTTGCTCCTGTCCAGAATTGATCCCACCTAATTTCAGCGACTCGCCGTGTAAAAACAACAGGTCAGCACTGTCTTCATTTCAGTCCAGGTGTCTGACACACACATGCCTCTTGCCTGAAGCTGCCCAACTGGCAAAGGACTCTCCAGCACCAGGTGTGTGTCACTTCCTCCTGTCTTCTCGGTTTTTCAGCCTCTCATCAAAGAGTTCCAGCTCCACCTCCGTTGTCTCTGCCAGATCTCTCAATTCTGCTTTCTGCTCTGCTACCTTTTCTTCGATCGCCTCCTTCAGAGACTTCGACTCAGTTCGGCCCACTGCCTCCCCAGCTCTTTGCAGGCGAGATCCAGCCAAGAATCGCAGGTTTGACACCGAATTCCTGAATGCTGAGGCGACCTCAGACAGTCCCGAGCTGCTGCTGTCTTGATCCTTGCGATCGAAGGCGTGAGGCTCTGTCTGAGCCACACGCTCCACCTGGGGACACGTCCAACGTGCGAATCGATGGAGAAGTTTATCGAATGCACTGCAACTGGTGGAGAACAGATTCACTTGCCACTGTTAGGAATGGCTGCACAGCATCGTGACTTTTGCAGATGGAAGCAACACTTGGCAATGCGAAAAATCGACCACTCCACCAAACGTCTGTTGGGGTGTTGCTATGCTTGGGACACAACGCGCACCACAGGAGAGCATGACAACGGTTCCACTATGAACCAATTTCCACCATCATACAGGGTGATCGAGATGAAAGGGAGTAAGCAGTATGAATGTTGCCCCAAGCAATGAAAGCTGGCAGGTAACACATTCCCTGAGCAGCAGCACTTCTGTGCGGAGTCCTTGTTCTGTATCAATACATCTAGTTGTGCAAACATGACTCAAGGATGCTGACGATCCCCACAACCCTGGCCAGTCGTTCAAGTTCGCTCACTAGTTCTCACAAGAAAATGCTGTCAAGCGGTGCAGGCCTTGCTTCACTACCACAGAATCTGAAAGTAATGGGTAAGAGGATAACAACAAGAGGATAACAATCCTAGAAACGAACGACAAAGAGGTGACCAAAGTGTTGCAAGCCTCAAGCTGGTTAGTGTGGTTGGCCATCTGCAAGGAACAACTACAACAAGTGCAGAAGCAGCAATTTCCCTGAGCAAACCGTGCTTGCACCATATGGAACTTCTTGAGGGTCCGCATTGGAACAGCAATGTCAGAAGACCGTACATGCACCCTGGCATTACTTGGAGGTGCCCATGTCACGGCCAAAGATCATCCTCCTGTACTCTTAAACTTCAAACAAACATGCACCTGAATGTGGAGCGCTCCGAGAAGTAGCATGAATGCTGAGAAAACGTCCAGCTCAAAACTGCTCCTCACGAAGGGTGCCGCGTACAATGCTGCAACAGCATAGTACGGAAAAGGGCGCTCACTATTGAGCGCCACCGATATCCATGCCTGTGAGCAGTCCCTGGATAAGTGCAAGAAGTCAGGATTGTATTGCTATGCTATTAGCAACCACAGCTGGGTTTCGAAGAGTGTCATCAAAGGATGTATAAGCACAAAGTTGTGATGCCAGTTCAGCATACTACCACCGGTATCCTAATTTCTTACAGCCAACTTCAAGGCATGAGTATGGTATCACCTGCACCATAAAGGACAACTTGTGTCGCTAAGAAGCATATGCCATTCCTAAATTGTGCACTGTTGGCTTCTTTGGCGATCAGTCACACGAATGACAGCTTTGCAAGAAAAATTCACACAACATTACATTCTGTGCCGCCTTGTTTCAACCCTTGCTTTGAAAATGTAATTGCACAAAACCAGTTACAGCTGCAATAACACTCCATCCACAGCCCCAGCACAAGGCGTTCCAGTGTTGTAATTCCAAAGCACTGGTCAACAAAAACCATCATAACACAGTGCTAGAATATCCAATTCTTGTCTGAATACCCACACCTCGCATGGCAGCACCTTCCACAAGTTATTTTGATGTCACAGAGATGTCGCGGGCGTGCACATACGCGACTGCTATCCCCTGAAGTCAACCCCACCTTGACCATCACCACAACACCCCAGATGCAACTTTCCCTCACCAAACCCCCACCACCCTTGTTGGCTGGTTCTGAGGAAATGTTGACCCCGAAAGGCTTTGACAATTGGACCTGGACATTATGAGTTGACTTTGCACGTGCCTGTGACAATGAGAATCAGTTGTCGTTTTATCACTGCCGTGACAACAATATACCCTCACCCCCCCACCCCCAACCACCCACTCATATAGGCCCCGGAGTGTGCGCTTTCTTGCCTTCTGTTTTGCTTGCGTTGTGAGCTCGTCATTTCGCACTGGGATGATCTGTATCATCTTTTCAGATGGAAATGAATCTCACGGACACTTGCGCAGCAGGGGGTGCCCCTCCCGTGACCGGTTTCTCTTTCTCTTTGCAGCAAATCTTTCCCCCTGCCTACCAATCCGGGCACGTTCTGCACCACGCCGCTCGGCAAACATCGCCGACTCACCACCCAGTTCACGAACGGGATGACGCTCACGACGCCCGCCACAATCCACTGGAAGTCCGCGTCCTCCTCGCGCTCCTCCGTCCCACCGCCCTCCGGCGCGACGATCGGCAGCGCCCCGAACAGCAGCGCGCCCACGGCGCCGATCCCGATGGCCGCTTGCACCGCCGCGTCCAGGCCGTCCCCGGCGGCGGCCAGCTGCACCAAGGAGCTACGGAGAGGCCGCGAAAGATTTCCCCCCCCGCGCCAGCATGGCGAGTTCCTCGACTGTCTGGCGGCTCTGCGACAGGATGGGCACTGACGAAGGCCTGGCGTGCGCAAGTGCGTCCAGGCACTTGGGCAGGGCACCTCCCACAAAGTCGCGCCGCACCCATTGCCCGGTGACGCCATGGGGATGCACGCAGCGGCTCCAAGTTGGCTGCACCAGGAACATGCACGAGAGAAATGTGGGCATTGCTGTAACCGCTGGGCCACTGTCGCAAAAACGAACAATCCACTGTCGCAAAAAAGAGTAGTTTGGCACTGTCGCAAAAAAGAACAGTCCACTGTCGCGAAAAGAAATATTCACCCATTGCTGTGGGGTGTGGGGAGCCCGGCAAGTTCCTTGGGCATTCCACGGGATTTGTACGATCTTCAGATCCTGCGCCAATACTCCTTTGTCCATTGGGCGCCCAGATGAAGGCCCAGGCACCCCGCCAGCGATCTTCCCGCCCGCGCGCCTGTCCGCCTCGCCCCTCCCCCGCGCGCCGGCCGCCGCCGCGAGATGGTGCGGCGTGTGCCGCGCCGTTCAGCAAGCGGTCCAGCCGATCGCCTCCCATCACATCGCGGGGATCCCCGCGCCCATGATGCCCTTCGCTCCACTGCGCGGGCCAACTCCAGATTTGTGCCTGCGGGCGCAGTGGGTCGCCGCGATTGACGATGGGCTCCCCGGGAGAAGGCATGCCGGCGCAAGGGGGGACGGGTGCTGGGGATCCAGGCGCTGGTGCCGACTGGATGCAGCGGCGATTATCAGGGGGGGTGAGCGTTGGGAGATTGGGGCAATGCCGTGGGTTGGGCCCCGGTTGGCCGTGAGCCGGGTGCGGCGGCCGGCCAGGGCAGCGGGGGGGCAGGAGGCAGGGGAGCCGAAGAGGGGCGAGAAGAAGGGGCGCGGCAAGGAGGCAGAGGATGGGGCGCAGGTAGAGCTGGCCGGGGTTATTGGCAAGGTGGGGATTGCGAGGGAGGGAGAGGGGATCGGAGCGTGGCTGTGCAGTGCGGGGAGTAAGTTGAGCGCCGTGCGATTGGTGGATCGATGATCGGGGGCCGGCAAGGAACAATCCTGCAATTGGCCGCAGTGGTGTTGGCGACTGGTTGTCGAGTTCAGGACAGGGCGCCGAAGCCTCCAGATGAACGCACGGATGGCACGAGTACAAGCATGGGTGGATGTTCGGATCGAAAGGGAATGTGGCTGTTCAGACGACACCCTTGGCGCTCTGCCGGCATGTGCCCTTTGGCCTTCAACAGGCAACCTCCCGGCTACAGGACAGTCAGTCTCGGAGACAAGGATACCATGAACAGTTGATCGTAACGCCGAAGTTTCTTATTGTTGCTAGCAAGGATTTAGCAAGGCCTGCTTCTTGTCAGAATTGCGGACATTGAAGCATATATGCCAATCCAGTGATTGGAAGGTGGCCAGACTGGCATCCTGTTAGGATGGCAAAGAAATTGGCAGCACCTTTCTTTGGAAGACGGATATAACTGAGCACTGAAACACAACTTTGAAGGAGTGAGAAAATGGAAATTGAGCTTAGCAGCATTGCCGTCAGTTCCAGTGCCCACAAATGATTTTATTTTTCTCAATTCTTGGATCAGCTGTGCTGATTGCACTGCTTCAATCCTAGCTGCTGCACCCCACCATCTGCAACTATGCAAGTGAGGTGTGATTGTCATCTTGACGACATCAACTGAACAGGAATCACCACATTTCTATAACCCTACCATGCAACATCTCAGGATAACACATCCTCCCAATGCACACCAGCAAGATAGGGTCCAAATATCATTCTTGCCACGAATATTTGTTCCACACCATGCGAGCATTGATGGGAGGCTTTCCCCACCAGTGCACTTGCATCCCCAGGTGTGAAAATGGTCCCTGTATGGACCTGAAGACAAGAAAGTGCTGTTTGGCAAGCCCTGATGCCGGAGCAATATTGAAGGGTCCACTGTCGGGTTGTCACTGCTGCCGTCGAGCGGAATGTTGGCAATGGGCTGTTTGGCCTTGATGCACATTTCCTTCTTCTGGTGCTGAAGTGCAGTCGGCCTTGCAGGACAAGGAGATGACCAAGAAAAGGTCCCAAGTAAGGAAAGATGATGTTGAGAGGAAGACAGAGAAGAAGGCAGCTGTCACAGACAAGGGCACAGCAACGAGTGCAGAAGCACAGAGTCTGGAAAGTGAGCAAACCACGGGATTGGGCGACAGCGACAGTGAGCCAACTGTGCCTTGGGACCTTGGCAAGACAACTGAGGTGTGAAGGTGCTCTTCATCGAGAACATTGATGTTCATATGCTGCTCGAAATGCAAGATGGCCGGAATTTTCTCTCCCACAGCTTAAACGGAGGGAAAGGGGGCTCGGCCACAAGCTCAGCAACATCCCTATGTGGAAATTGAGTTGCTGACCCTCCAGAGGTTCTTTTCCCACAAAGATGCAGCCACGAATCTTATGCACAAAGTCTTGAATCTGCACCATCAATTTGCTATTGATTGTATCTGCATGGATTTCATTTGTCAAATACATGGCAAAGCACCTGCTGTTGAAAATCAGGCAATGTCAACATGGGTGTGGTGTGAGTCCTACCAAATTCTGGACTGTCAGTAGGAAATATTTGCTGCCCACTCTCTCTTGATGTTTTCAGCCTGGATCTGAGTAGATCAACTCTTGCAAGATAACATGGTCTGCTGCCTGTCAAGAAAATGTTGTGCTAGCAATGTCGTTTGCCTCTGACCCAATCCAGTGGATTGTCAGTTTCGTCTGACAGATCATGCCATTTTGCACACATGTTGGGTGAATCGTATGTGATACAGTGATGGATGACATCCGGAACATATGGATGGAGTTTCAACCTCTGAAGAGGCTGAATAGGTGCATGGCTGCAATAACTTGACACATCAGCTGCTTGTGGCGGACACTAATCCATGGTGCAAATTGTTCCTGACAGGTCATGCTCCTCTGGCTATTCGCCTTCTTCACCCTGCGGTCGTGCATATGGAGGATCGGCATGTGGCTTCTGCGCATTTCATCAGAAGCACAGCTCACAGCAAGTGGGCTGGCAGGCTTCACCCTCAGCCTGGACCTGTCCATGCTTGTGGCCACCATGTTCATCCTGAAGCAGTCGCTCAGGGAGTACAGGCCTCTACGGGAGAGAGGCCTGTTCCCACTGCACTTCAGGTTGGTGCAGTTTCAAGGGCATGCTGTTGTCAAAAGTAAAAAGACTTTTTGCACCTTATCATGCACATGTCCATGGTAACCATGTCGTACCTGTGGTGGTTACAGTTGTCCGTATTCACAGCAAAGCATCACCTCTGTGCCTAGAGGGTGGTATTTGGCTTTGTCCACAACATCAGCAAGTGCCCACAACAAAACTGTCCCCACAGTCCTACAAAGAGCATGAATCCATAGACAGAGGAAGATGCTGCTGGGTATGGTTGACACATGGGTGCGAACACTTCTATGCCATGGAGTTGGTGGGTTTTTGGTATTATTGTGGTGGTGTTATCATTTCTTCCATCAGGGAGGCATAGGGCATGTCAGACTCCTCACAATGCTGCCTGTTGTGTGCATTGCCACTGTGTTGGGCCAAGTTGTTTCCAGGAAATACTCAGTGGACTGCGTATTTGATTACATCCATATGCTGCTGCATATTGCATGACGAAGCATAGTTGCATAAGCTAAGCTGTCAAGCAGGAAAACAAGAAATCGCAAATCCTGGTTGACTCCTGGGCTGAACTGACATCAGGGGCCGCTGGTGGGTTTACGTATTGCTGTCTTGCTTATTCATCCCAATGGTGGACTGGCTGGGGACAAGGATCATGGTGGCCTTCCCAAATGAGATGGATGGGCTGCCCAGCACCACAGAGGTGCAGCTGGCCAAGGGGCACACCATGACCAATGTGCTGTACTTCATCCTGCTATCGCTCTGTGCACCACTGTGGGAGGAGGTGGGTTGCATCAACTGCCTAAGCCCCTAGCCCTGATATGTGAACTGGCCCCCTTCGCAAAGTTTGGTTTGCAACAAACTTCCTAACCGTTCATCTGGGAACATCAGTTTCCCTTTTTCCCTTTCTTTCTACTGTTGTTCTGCAGCACTCACATCAACACAGTGAACGATCTTCACATGTGTGCGCTGCATCTCATCCTGCTGACAAGCAGGGATGGTGATCGTAGTCTGCCAAGTGCTTGTAGTTGCAGGTCTGCATTGATGTCAAACTGTGTGGGTTGCCATTCATACTCCGGCTTTGTAGATGAGAGGATCTGCAGAAGTTTCGCTCACAATATGGTTCTGTGTTTTCATCAGTTCGCTGCTCAGGCACCACGCACGGTTGTTGGCTGGATATGTTCGATTGGTTAGCTAGTGCATAGAGATGCATACATTGCTGTCGTCTGCAGGTCTATGTGTACCTTCGGCAAGAGCTAAAGGCTGTGGTGCATACATGTCGGGCGATCTCTTGCCTTTGCTCTTGAGCTCTGGTTGACACACTGATGACACACTTGCTGGCGTGCATGCTGCAGACCATGTTTCGTGGATTTCTCATACCTTCGCTCAGCCGCTATCTGTCCAAACACATGGCGGTTGTGGCCAGCTCAAGCGTCTTCGCAATGGCCCACGGAAGTCTCCGGCAGTTCATTCCTCTGCTGATACTGGGGATTGTGATCGGGAACGCTTTTGTGTCTTCACGGAATCTCTTGCCTTCCATAGTGTTGCACAGTTTGTACAATTCTTATGTGTTTGTGCATGTGTTGTTGGGGTCCTGAGCCCATTTCCTTGTTGCGCTACATTCTTTGGCCCGAAGTTGGGTGAGGCTGGAGGATTGGGTGATGAGGTCTTCAGCCTGCTCGAGTGGCAAGGGATTTGCCACTGGGGGAAGGGGGTCGCTGGGCGACGAACGCAGAGACGATCAATATTGTAATCATTTAAGAAAATTCCGAACTTCAGTATTTTCCCGGTAGAAGGCATCCACTGTAACGTGTTGGCTGAAGATGCAACGGGTCAGCTCCCAAGCCGACATGAGAGCTGCTGGTGGTGCACCTCTTGTACAGTGTGGTGTAGTAGCGGTCCATGTGTACTTGTAGGTGCAGACAGGTCCGCACGGGTGCGGAAATCGCCCGTTAGGAGTCGGTATGCCTTAACCATTGAGTGGGTTGCTTGGCTAAACCCTGTCTTGTCTGGAACTAGTATTGTTGTGCACCTACCCTGCCTGATTCCTTTGGAAGCGGTGTGCCGGCAGCCAAAGATGTTGCCGTGGGCTGCCCTCTCTCGCGGTGGGCTGAAATTTCTTTGCAAAATTCAGAGTCAATGCTGGGCGCCGTGTGGGAACCAACTTGTTTCGAACGGACCCCGTCAGCATGTTGTAGAACTGAAGCCAGTGTGTATTATATTGTTTCTATCGATTCGTTGTTGTAAATTCTCTTTTCTTTGGACCCTGTGATGCCTGAGGATTGCCGTCGATGCCCGCGTGCACATGGGCACATGAGCCCATGCAGCACACTTTTGTGTGCATCCGATTTGTTATTGTGCAAGTCGAAATCGACACAATTTTCTGGTGGAAGAGGTGCTGAAAAATCATGGGCAAAACAAGAAATCAAGCAGCTAGCCCACAACAGGGGTGGCTGATAACACCGACTTGAAAAAGACCATTGGGAGAGCGGGCAAGGCTGCGCAGAATGCAATCCCCAGGCCTGGGCACCAGAATGAAACGTGTTGCATCACTACGTCTGGAAGACAAAGGCAGAGGTGATTCCAGCAAGCTTAAAAATTCATGATGATGACGATGATTCCAGCAAGCGTCAAAAACCAAATCCCTCGCCAATCCGAGCGAATGAAGCTTGGGTCATTTCGCGAATTTCGCGACACGTTGCCTGTTCCCCGAACCTCCTCACTGGCCAATTTCTCCTCAGGTAGGGCAAACGTGTTTTGTGGCGCACCAGCTTCCATGACGGATTAGTCATCACAACTACCATCACGTCCGCGCACTGTGGCGAGAACCGGAAACTCGAGTACACGAGACTGGAGAAGAACCACCGCCGAAGTGCGGCCTGCTGTGTGGCGTCAGGCCGCAGCGACCTCTCGTTTTCTCTGCTGCTTCGGGAGCTAGGATTCGCGCTGATGGATGTGGATCAGTTCTCCGATGCGTCGTTCAGTGCCAAAGCGTGGGTGAACGCGGCCTGTGCACGCCGAGCGGAGGGAGAGCCGCTTGAAAGGTGCAGAGGACGGGGGAGGGGATTGGCTTGGGCAGGCAGGGCGCCAATTGCTGCGAATGGCGTTTGCGGCGGAATCCTGACTGCTGATCGCTTGTGGTCTGTGGGGGTGTCTGCTGACTGCATTTGCTGGACACATTTGAAAGATTATGGGGCAGAAAGGAAGATGGGGGGTGATCGAAAGCTTTCAGAAGTACATTAGCAAGTCTGGTCTGCACAGGGCCTGCCATGTCTTGGGGTTGAAGCCCAAAAGTGCATCCAAGATCAATCTGGCTGATTTCCCAGCCGAGGACGACGCTGCCAATCCATTGTACTTTGAAATTCTGCGAAGCCATGCACCTCGTTTCATTGAAGGCCTCATTGGAGAATCTGAGGAATGGGTGGCTGTTGTCTTCAGTAGCCCACCCAATCCGCACATCGGTTTCTCGAGACATGCACTTGCACTGTACACTTTATGCGCACTTGCACTGTAGAATTTGTACTGCAGGATCAACCAACTGTTTCTCTCATGATAGGTACCTTGCAGAATTGGAGATGAAGCTCCAGCTGAGCTGTGAAGATATTGAGGCTGCGCTTGAGGACTGCAGTGCCCAGGTGCTGAGGAGGATACCCACAGCCCTTCAGGAGGTTGCAAGAATACAGGTAACACACAGCGGTCTGCAATTGAAGTGGCACCATTTATTGGTGGGCTACCCTTGGCTTTGGCTTCAAGAGGAAGTAGTTGCATGGATGCAGAGGGGAAGGCTGATTTGGCATTGACAGTATGTTGTCGTATGTATCTTGTAACATGGGTAGATTGGAGGGTGGTTCGTGTTGTGAAACAAAAGCCCATCACTGCCTTATAAGGCAAGTCCTTTGTCACTTCCAGCATAGAAAGATATTGAAACCACTGAAACGAACGTAGACCATGCGTACTGGAACATAGAAGAACAGTGGCCCTTTTGTGGTCATGCAGTGTTTCAAATTTAGGGGCTTGTCATGACAGAGGCGTGTCAACGACCATCGAAAATTCTCAATGCAAGAGTTGGAGGATATCTGGAGATTGAAGACAGATTTCTGTGTTGCCCAGGGGGAGGCAGACGGGCTACGCTTTGGTGTGCAGGGCCTGGTAGGGAAATTGAAACATGACCACACCGCTGGCAGTCAGGCCATTGCTGGGCTGCTGGAGGTTGACAGGGTGAAGAGGAATGTAGAAGCTGCATGCAACACCCTCCAGGTGGGGAGTATTGCGGCACATGAATCATTCCCTTTGTTGCAAATCGCCTCCATGGGTAAAAACTGCAGCCAACTGGTTCTGGGCATCCAAAGCATGCACACTTTGGCAAGAGACCATTTCAGTCGAGGAAGTGCCGTATTGTCTGAATTGAGCAATTTGGTGGATGGATAGTGTGTGCACTGGAGCCGTACGCAGCCATTTGAAGGGTGTGAATTATGCATTGGTTTGCAAATCTAGATATTGCAGTACTGGACATAGCTCATTTTCAGTTGTTGTTTGACTTCTTCAGCTGCTGAATTGGGAGGCAAGCTAGTCTGGGCCCAGTCCAGGTTATTTGATGCTCTGTAGTGTTCATGTGAAAAAGCTGCTGAACAGTCCTTTCCAAGAATATCTGGATAGACAAGTCGACTGATTCTTGTAATGCATGCTAGGTTTGAGAATTCTGCAACAGTGTTCCACTGTAATCAAAGGTGATCTACCCCAATGTACCGCAGTGCAGCTGCAAAGCAGCAGGGCATCTTGCACAAAGCTGCAACAATACAATGCTACATATTGATCACGTACTCTTCTCTTGGGCACCCTTCCAAGTCCCTGTGGCCAGCTGACAGTGTACATCACGGTGCAGGAAGCCACAGAACTGTCAGAGCTGTTTGCACGTGTAGACAGCATCTTTGCAGCTGGCGATGTAACAGCGATGGCAAACACCCTGGCGACGATGAGGAGAGGACTCGACCTTGTGGGAGACGTCCCAGAATTTAGGGGAGGGAGACAAAAGCTGAAGGTGGGGCCAGTCTTTGCTCCTCTTGTTGGTAACCTGACCACTGCCATTGTCAGGTGCTGCCTCGTCTTGCTGAAGAAATTGCATTGTTGGGCAGTATTTTGACTGTCCACATTGTGTAAACAAGAGAATGGCATTTGGACAAGTACACATGGCATTCTGAGCTTGGTGAGGTGTTTTTATACCTGTTGGTACAATATGTGCCATTGTTGTGTCCTTCGTTAGGCTGGTAGTATGGACACATTTGTGCATGTATGCTGGTTTTCTTGGTGTGTCCAGGTACCCATTCACTTTTGCTGTCAGTTTTGTCATTCACTCACTATCAACCCAAGTTGTCATGCTCAAAGATTTTCTTGTGCATTCCTGCCAAAATAGCAGCGCGATGCAGATATTCTATTGCCATGTGGTGGTTGATCTCTGTTTCTTTCAGCTGCCTGTGTCACTTCAGCATTGTGCCTCCAGATTTTGTATCTGCAAGTTCTGTTTCTAGCTGTTGTTCTAGCCCAAGGGCAATTTATCTGCAGCAAGCCACCAAGTTCAGATGCACAGGTGGACACTGTGTGTTTTAGCCCACATAAACGCACTTCCACACAGCTGGTCCTTTCCTGCTTACCCACCCTGCCCCCTGTGGTATTGAATCTCTGCCATTGCTGGCTGCACTGCATGATGTCCTCCTGACTAGCTGTTGCCAATGCACTCAGAATCTGGAGGACAGTTTGGTTGCCAGGATAGAGCCACGGCTGTCAAGTGCATTGGCGCAAAAAAAGGGTAATAAATGGCGATCTTCTAATGCTGCAATTCCACAACTTTACTATGTATGATATTTGGCTGTCGTTTCGTTGACAGCTGTGAAATTATCGATCATCTAAGTGTATATCATATGATCAGATGCATCATTTTGCTGAGTCTGTTGAACTTCCCAAATGTGACTGGTGGTACCATACCTACCTTGCTGGCTGATCGCAACACAGCATTTGCTGCGGAATTCATCTGGTTTGCTCCATCGACTTGATCCTCCAGAGCCCCATTTCTTTGTTCCTCTTGATTTTGGAAACAGGCTTGAAAGAAACGCCAGGCTGTGCCTTGGCAATGCGACTGAACTTGTTTTGCGCACCACCTGTGGCAAGTCTGAACTTCATTGCCGATTGTGCAGCAACTGGTGTTGAGTGGCGCTTCATATTGGCTACCTGCACACAAGCTGTGAATGTGCGTGTCTTGTTGCCCTTTTTGGGATTTACATCAACAAGCCTTCTGTGGCATTGAAGCCAGTTACTCGTTAAGCACGTTGTTGGCTGTGCACAGAAATGAAACCAACACAGGATGGGCCATGTTTGAAAATCCTTTCTGTGCAGCCTTGTCCAATAGTGCCTTTTGTGCACAATCTATAGCCCCCCCACGTGTGCTGATACCATGATTTTCAAAAGCCCAAATTGCGCATTGCGCACAGGTTCGACATGAACATTGCCAGGCCATCAGCCATGGGAATTCGATCATGGGTCGATGGATTGATCCTTCGTTCTTTGTGCTGCTAACATTTCCTCAGGGGAACAAGTGAGAGTACTGGCTGGACTGCTGTTGTCCATTGGGCATGATGACATGCTGCAGAGGCTGTATGCATCAACATGGTTGCAACAGCAGTCTGGGCCACGAGACGCCCTGGCGTCTGGGCTGTCCAGCCCCTCCGCATCTCCCAAGGCCCTGTGTGGGGCGCTTCGCCAGTGGCACGATTCCCTGATGCTGTCCATCGAGGTTGAGCTCCAGTGGTGTGACGTTTTCCTTCCAGAGCAATCCTCACAACTGGTTGTGTGCATATTGATGTCTGCCATCGAAGAATCCAATAGGTGTGTCAATGGATGTGTTGACGGGCCTGTTTTATGGCCTGGGATAGTATCTGTTAAGTCGGTCTCATCGAACTGCACTGGGGGTACTTTGACATGCTGAGTTGCTGTGTTGCATGCTGAGTTGCCATTCATTTAGTTGGTGAAGGCACTGCTCTGCACCTAGAGGGCGACAACAGTCACGGTTTGGGTGCCCACAGTCACTTCCCTATTTGTTGCATGACATAAACCGTCCATTCTGTAAGAGCACCATCGAAAAGCTTCTTTGACAAAACAGGCAACGATGCCCTGAACACACTCGAACTCGATGACGGCTTCATTGCAAAACTTGGCAGTCAGTTCTCCCACGCTCAGTGTGAAACATTCCGTCTCTCCAGGATGCTGTCCAGCCTGCTGTCCCAGCGTGCATCGGTGCTGCTGTCCATGGATATGCAGAAGACTGCACTCGACTTCTTCTACCGGTTGGCAAGGTTGCTGGTGCCCCTGACTGAATACGACAAAATGGCAGCCGTGGCGTGCCTCCTGTACGAGCCTTTTGAAGTGGAAGTCCAACGCTTTGCAGCATTGGAGAAAGAAACCCTGAGGCGCTGCATCGATGGCATTGCGTCCATATCAGAAGGGGCAGGACTGCAGGAGGGCGAAGGGGCTGAACCGATGGTGGACTGGATGGCAGAGTCTCATCAACGGGTTCTCATGGAGGTGGAGGGGACTCTAAACAGGTGTTTGGAGTTCACAGGTGTGCTGAGCATTTGGGGCTGGCAGATGTGGTGTCCAGGCCTGTGGCTGTGCAATACGCCTTTGAGGGACTAGCATAGAATAGCAGTTATGAGAAAGGATAGGCAGAAAGGTCATTTGCCGCTCACCCCAGCGACATGGTTTTTCTATTGAACTTGTCTTGCACAATGTGTGAGAATATATGCAATGTCTGTGCAAGTGCGTTCAATTATGTGTATATGTAGGTAAGATTGTGTCGGCAATACCTTGCCTCACATTGCGATTGTTTGTCAAAGATATGGGCACTCACGTCGGCTGCTGAGGCAACTATTCAGATTCCTATGTCCCTTACAAGAAAACAGCACCACCTCAACCTTCAAGGGCGTGTTGCTTCCTTTGCAGGTGGCACCGAGCTTGCTGTCCTTGTGCCTGTCCTTGACAGCACCATCCAACAACACTGTGGCAATCTTGTCAGTCAGTTGAAGTCTGTCAGGAACAAGGTCCTTGGAGGCTCTAGAGGCGGAGGCCCAGTTGGCGATGACAAGACAAGGGACTTAGGGGCAGTGCTACAACTGTTGCGGCTTGCATCCCAGTTTGAGAGCCAAGTCAAAAAGACAAACAAGAGCCTGTCTGACGCTGTGGTGGGGATAACACCAAAGTTGGTCGCTGCAAAGAGCGACCAGAAACCCAACCTCGCGGACCTGACTGTGATCAGGTTGGTATTGATCTCTGCTGGCGCTTTGGGAAACATCCTGTTGCGAACTCCTCAAGGCAGCCACAGCTGCATGCACCGCACCAAAATCTTGACTGGCACTGCCTCGCATGCGCACAAGCAGCTGTGCGGTCCCTGTGCTCTGTGGCAAGCAGAATTGGTTATGCTGCGTTCGTCGCGTATGTCAGTGGCCTGGAGTCAGCATGGGGGTTGCTGGACTAGGCCATGCATTTCGTACAGTGTACATGATGTCGCATTAGAATGGCAATCGAACTGAATATTCATGGTTGTCTTCATGGGCATCTTCGTTGTGATGCTGCGCATCTTTTGCACTAGTACTTTATCAGTCCTGTGTTGATGATCGTGGGATTGTATTCCTCTTGTCTTTCTTGTGTGGCCAGTCATTGGTGTTTGTGAGTACTGAGGAACAGGTGTCAGAGGCTTGATTGACAAGAAGCTGTTGACAACGCAGCCACTGAATTGGAAACGACAAAACGACAGGCTCAGGAACTCTGAAGAATTACAATGCAACTGGAATTTAAACATGGGCAGTAATTTGTCACATTCAGAAAAGACAACAATCAGAAAAGGCGAATTCTAGTGGCAGTGCTCGGAGGTACATAATACTGTGGCTAAGCATCAATGTGGTGGTGGCAACTGCCAGGCAACCATTCTCCTGCTGGCCGGATGTTCCAACACAACGGTTCGTCGGCCCATAGCCCAGCTTTCTCAATGTAGCACTGAGGATTTTGTCCTTGAAGGCGTGACCTATCGATCCCATTTTGTTCCGTTCTTGTTGCCATAGGTTGCAGAACGATCAACGAAAAGCAGCACAGCTGTCCGGCCTGATCGATGATGCACAGGGCCCTCGCTTCGCGCCTCTCTCAACGGCTCAGATGAGCCTGGCGGGATTCAAGGCTGCGGTGGAGGCTCTTGTGTTTGACGTGCTGATGGACAAGCTGAGGCAACATTTCTTGGGTGAGCACGTGCAGTGCGCTCTCGAGGAAAGAATGTCGATGAAATCCTCTGCATCGTCGCTTTGAAGGTGCAGGGACAGCGCGTGGTGCCCATGTATGCGAATGTGAACCAACTGATCAAACCTAAGCGGCAAGACATTTGGAGCGTCGATAGATTTCTGAACGCCTGCACCAGGGTATTGAGGTTCAAAACAGTTTCCTTCAATGCAAAACCATGGTATAATTTCATTATTTCGCAGGGGACAATGGAAGCCGTTGCATATAATGGGTGGCTTTCTTAAATTGCATTGTGTCAAGATAGACGATAAGAGAATTGCTCAGTCATGCTGCAGAATGGACTGAAATCCTGAGGGAAAAGGAAATGACATGTGAGGCGTTGGCCAGCACCTGACATGCTATTTCCTTTCCACTCAGGATTTCAGTACATGGGAGCGACCCCTGCACGTGTCGGCGTAGGATTAGAAGCAGCGCATGAGGGCAAGCACCCGTTCATGGACTTAGATCCATTTGCTGTCCTCCAGTAGTTCCACTCATCACGGCTTTGCCAGCCAATAACTGTATCGAAACCTTGAGCAGGCAAGCGACCTGATAAGCACAAGATTTGAGAGCAAGTCGCTCTGTATATGCTCATGGAAGGTAGCTGCTGAGAACCTGCATGATTTTGCTGCGCACCTAACACTGGTGACCATGCTCACTGGCACTAGTAAAACAGGCCAAATACACGGCTTTTAAAATCGCGTACCGCGTAATACGATTGAAAATCGTGTAAAATTCGTGTTAAATCGTGTACTTATCATATAGAATTGGGACCAAACCGTGTAGTAAAGATTGAGAGAGTGTACATGATTTTTACACGGTTCGAAACCATGTATTTTGGCCGATTTTTTACTTGAGTGGCAGGATAGACACCATGCCAAAAGTCTGTAACCAGCACTTGCAATACTTTCGTTGCACATGGAAATGTGTGTGGTCAAGCAACACGGTTATGTCATGCTCGTACACGGGTACTGGCCTTGCAGAATGAGACAGGTACTGTGTTAGCGATATGGGGTGGGAGTTGAAGTGTGCGCCACAGTCACTATGCTCTCAGATGAACGACGTCAACTACGATTCGTGCAAGTCCACAACGCAGCATGGTAATATGGCACATTAGGCCCTGCCTTGTCGCGCATCTGTGTTCTCGTTGCTTGCTGCCCGCAATTTGCTTGACCTTGATTGTTCCCCCCACAGGCATAAGCACCATGAAGGAGTGGAATGCCGCTGGCGACTCGAGCGGACTGGATCTCCCCAAGTTCAGTGCGTACCCGCTTCAGTACGTGAAATCCACTGGCGAGTACCTGATGATGCTCCCACAACAGCTGGAGGCCCTTGTGGGCGCAGAGGAGGATGTGGAGGTCGACGCACAGGAAGATTGTGAGGGCGAGTTGGCCAGTCTGTGGCTTGACAAGGTCAGTTTTCTCTCCTTGTCGTTCTTTCTCATCTTGTCTCTTCTTTGTGTTGAAAACCTTCTTATGTCGTTTGTCTTTGTCTCCCCTCCTCCCAGCTCTTTGCCCTTCCTGTTGTGTCTTCCTTGCGCCCTCACTTATTTTCATCTCTGTGTACTGGCACAAGCGAGCACCATGATTTCGAATGCTTGGGCTCGCGTGGGACATGGGGCATGAGGGTTGGGATTGATTTTTCTTCACTACATACATTGAACATCATCCATGGGGATTTCATTATTCATACCAGATCACTGCATTTCATGGGACAATAGGGGGTGGCGACATGGGACCATGAATAATCGATTCCAAACACACTATCTGCTTGGTTTTCACGCCCATCATCGCATACCAGGTGCACGAGCTGTGTTTTGTCATTTTGTGACAAATGTAATCCATGGATTTTGATGATGATGATTTCGAATTGTTATTGGGGCATTCCATGGTGATCAGTTGCCACGCTTTCGATGCGATTTGCTTGCAATTCCGTTTCAGAAGGAAGATTGGGAAAACGTGGAAAGATATGGAAATTCCAGTTGTTGTAATGTACATTAGCGTGTTGTAATTTCATGCTGTATGGCGCAGCGATTTCACAAGGCGTCGTCGACGCTGCCGTGTTGTTCGAAGCCGTACACATGGACCTATCGGGGCGCTCCGTGCCATGGGCTTGTCAAGTTTTTCGACGGTTGAAGTTTTGCTTGACCGCTGCCATTTAGAATGTGGGGAGTGCTTGTCGACTGCACAATGCGCCCATTGCACGCACGCCCCAAACCACGGAGCCCTTCGCAAATAATGGCACGTTTGTGCTCGCAGCCCCTTTGGACAGCTGCACCCAGTTTTAGGCTGTGCGTATTCACAGTCTCAATTGTGGGTGTCCACAGCCATTGTTTTTCCAAGGTGTATTCAAAGCCCATTGCTTGAGGGTTCGCAACCAATTTGCGGAGAAGGCCGTTTCTGGTGCATTTGCTGCCCACCCTTTTCCATTCCCTTTACCTTTTCGCCCTTTTTTGCATCTCGACCTTAAAATTGAATCCTAAATACCTGAAACATGTGATGACAACAGAATGTAAGCCCCTAAAAAATGTGGCCAACACCCACAATACGTACATAGCCAAGAAAGGGGTTCCAAACGGGCTGTGGAAACGCATCTAAAAAGGGCTCCCTAAACATGGATTGCTCAAAACAGAGCACTGCAATGCTGTTGCACCCGCGTGCGACGAAGGACCTCTTAGAGCGTTCAGTGTTGGGCTGCAGCGGCCCTTGATCGTACTCGCCACTGATTGTCAGTGCATTCCTGCGTTGCTGACAGTCGATCAAAATATGCTGCACATCCAGCCGAGGATTTGCGCGTTTTTCTCAACTTGTCTTGCTATGTCGCTCGCATCAGGTAGTCACAGGTGCTGCCGAGCTGTACGTGGACGAGCTGCTCCGTGTGCCTATCCTGTCCGCATCGGGCTGCGCCCAGCTGCTGGCGGATGTCGAGTACTTTGGCAACGTGCTGTCGGCGATGGGATTCCCTCGGCCAGACGCGCTCGCCGCGGTGCAAAAGGCGGCGTCGATGCCTCTGGGGGATCTTGAGAAGGCCGCGGGGGGCACTGGCCCGAAGACGGGAGGCGCTTCAGCGGTGCTGGCGGCCGTTGCAAAGATGCGGGGTGCAGCTCCTCATTGATTGCTTCTGTCAAGACTTGAAGGAGCGTTGCCCTTCGAGTCGATTGCGACTTACTGCATGGTTACCTCATGCCTTGTTATGTAACAAATATAATGACGATGATGACGAATTCCTTAGTTGCATAGCGTTCACTAAACCCGACTCCGCTCCCAGCAGCATAAACATTATGTCAACAGGATGATGATGATGATGATGATGACTTACAGCAGGTGAAGGCAGGGAGACAGGCGGCTCATTGTCGGGCCCGGGGAGAATCCCAGCCAGCCCGCGACCTGCCGATGACGAGGTGGTGTAATTTCGGGTGAGGGACGGTGCTGCACGCATTGGCAGCACGGGCGGAGCTGGGCGCAAGGACCGAGATGTGGGATTGCGAGGAGTGTGGTTTATATATTTGTAGTATTTTTTCCCTTTTCACATTGCGTATTGATGAGCCTGCGGGCGGGATGTGAACGTAGATTGTCTCCATCGATGTTCAGCCTGTTCACGTCAGGATGTCACATGACCGATTTTCGATTATCAATTGAATTTTGGTGCGCACTGGGTGGCCTAATCCCCACCCAAGCACCCAACCGACCCCTCCTGGGGGCGCCCCAGAAGCAGAATCGAGTTTGGATAAGGGGATCGGTCCGATGGCACGAGTTGCACAATTTCCCGGAGCAGGCTTGGGCAGCCCAAGAAGATGCCTTGAATACCTCTCAACAAAGACCCGCCAGGTACCAGATTTTGAGGAATTCTCTTCGACAACCCTTTTCAGACTGTTCAGTCCGCGATGCCAAGGCATTTGGCGGGCTGTCCATGAAAGTGGTAATCGTCACAGATCGGGCCCTTAGTGTTCCGTGGCCGTCCGTGACCAGCTACGATTCCACGACGGGCCGCAGGGTGCCAATTAGCGCCCCTAGTCCGTCAGTGGTCCACCGAGCCAGGGCTCTTGCAGAATGTTTCATTCTGGCGAACTCTGTGCCACCCGCCACTTGTTTCATGTGCGCCTGTCGCAGTTCTTCAAAAAGGGCTCATGGCAGCGGCCGGAGGTATTTCGAGTGCTTGTGGTCGCAGCTTGCAGGAGTCGGCAGTCACCCCAAGAGGATTGGCTCTTGAAAGATTGCTACAGGGACGCGCACGTGCTCATGCGATACGACTGAGACCAACCGGCGCACCAACCATGTATCAATGCATGCAGACACAAACAATAACGCAGCAATGTGCAGATCGAGCTTTCCATTCACCTCTAAGCGACTCACCATCTTACACAATTGCCACTTCCCAGGCTACGTTACCTAGAGTAGCTTAGAATGTCAATCCCCACCATCAATGGTTTTGTTGGAAAAAACTTGCCATCCGATCATCAAGGGTGTGCTCTTCGCATTTGTGCGTATGTGGTACGCTTTTAGAGGCGAAAGGGACCAAGTCCGGCAGCACAAGAGCCATGCCGCTGGTTCTTGGATGGCGAGAGGGATGTTGTTCAATAAAACAGAAGTCAAGCCACGAGTGTCCACACCATGCCCAGTCGGACAGATGCTAGCCAGAGTTGTCGTTTGAAATCGAGGCGCAGCGCTCGATGACCAGCGAGTCCGACACCTCGTCGTTGCCGCTCACATGCATGCAACAGAACTTGAAAACCCTTGTACTGCTCGAACAAGGAGAATCGAACCGTGGCAAGACCCTGGCGCTCCAAAATCACTTGAACGTACTTGGTCTTACAAAGAGTCAGAATTCAGCCAGTCTTGAGACTGTTCTGTGAGTTTTTAGGCGTGCAAGGATTCCCACGGTCTATCAAGCCTAGAGAACCCGAACAGTCTCGGGCTCCCCTCAAACACCCACGTTTGTCGTCGATATGAGACACCATTCCAACCCATCAAGATTCAGCTACTTCAGCATGATACATGTTCCTCATGAGTAAGTTTGTACCCCAACAGTAGCAAGTTTTTTTTACGACCTGTGGTCACTGCATTGGTCGCGTCTTCCCAGAAGCGTACTTTCAGGAATACCGACCATTTGCCGATTTAGCGCTTCTCAGAAGTACTGGTCCCCTATAGCAGCACAGTAGGACCCCCGTGAATCTTTGTAAAAGGTCCTTAAGCTCTCAGAGGTTCAAAGAGACGAAGCTCGGCTGCTGTCGACAAGGAGCTGGGACATCTGCAGGATCATCCAAGAACTCTCTAAACATCTACTCTGAGAAGAACCATCTGTCGAGGCGTCAAAATATCATACTTCAATCTAGCTTATATAAAGCAACTGCACGGGCTATGGCCATACCATACACAAATTTAAAGGAGCCAGCGGCCTGGTTGTTGAACAGTTGTCGCGATTGAACGTTAACCTCCTCGAAACTGGGGCAAGAGTGAGGCATCCTATACCCGGCGTCATGAACCAGATCTGCTTGTCTGCTGTCATGACGTCTTTCCGTGGCGCAGCTTGAGTAAGCTTGGCGTGAGCTGGAGTGCCCTGGCGTGCTGCGCCACAGCCTGGAGGGACGTGAGGTGCAGCAAAATAACCCAGGGTAATCGGAGTGCCGCACCATAAGAGGTGACGACTTTGAGCTGCCGCACCAAGACATGGACAAGCTTGGGTGCCACACCAAGGGTGCTAGAAGGACCTTCTGGGGACCTGCAACAAGAATGTAGGAGCAAGGCGTGGATGAGACTTTTCGGGCTCGAGCGAGCTGATGATTGGAACAGTTGAGACACAACGCGCCACAACCTACTGCAGGGTACAAACAGAAACGACCACACCTTCCGCAACATCTTTGGGCCCACTTGCACTTGGCCTTCCGTCTGCATTTTTGACGCTCGATGCCGATAAAACTTGCCGATAGTCAGTCACCATCGTTAGTGCGTGTAAGGTTGTCGTTCACAGCTCGATCGGCGTTGGCGTGTTCAGCATCGCGCCGGAAGACCCGTCACCCGAGCACCGCTTCGGCGCTAGTGCGCGGCCCAAATTCACATTGTCGAAACAGGAAAAGCAAAAGGCAAAAGTCGCCGCACCGCTAAACGCATTGACGTTGACTCACTGATGCCGTCATGCTCATATGAAATTAACTATCGTGTTGGCGGATGGCTGCCAAGGGCGACGCTGGGTGGGCTGCGCCAGTGGTTTGAATCGGCAGGGGCTTGAGTGCGCCACTTTCGGGCCCCGCACTTCGGTTTTTGGCCCCCTAGTGTCCCGGGTCAGTCAAGGTACGAAACATTCAAGGGACCGTCAGCCTTGGCGCCCTTGAGATTTGGCGTGCTGCGCCGGTGGGGGCTGTTGAGCCGCCCCGCACCCCCCACCCCCATCCCCTCAGTCCCCGACCTTATCTCATTGCACACCCGCCCTCGCGCTGTGGGGAGTGGATGCGGTCCAGTTGTGGGATGGAGAAGAAGCGAAGCGAGCAACACACTGTGCGCTTGTGAAGACTATTGAGAAAAAGATCAACAACAAGTGTCATCGGCCTTTTACCCTTCAACGAGGAGATGAATGCATAGTCCATGCAATGAATGCAATGTCCATGCATCCAACATCATTCGTTTTCACAGAACAAGGCAATGAGGTGGCCCTCAGCTTCCTATTTTGCCCGAGCAAAGCAGAGTCTAATATTTCGGTTGTCCACGGCTTCACAAGAGCCCAGCAGGGGATTAATGGGCTGACTCAGGGCTGAGTCACGCATTTGCGTGGCGTAATGGTGTGGCGCAGCGTAAATTTGGGCCCCCAACCAGTCTTCCCACCAGCTCCCCGCGCAACAGCAGCCGCGCCAGTCCACGTCCACCCAGGCACACGGTCGCCAGCATGGCCAGCCAGCCCGCGGAGACCATCCCCGAGGAGGGCGCCGCGCCGGCCAAGCCGTTCCCGCCCCAGAGCGTGCCGGAGGAACCGGAGGCGCCGCCACAGGCTAACTGGAAGATCATATCCCTGATGCTACGCGCCGTGCAGCGCTTCCAGGCGTCCATGAACCCGAAGGTGGACTTCAGGAAGCGCAGCAGCGGCCCGGCATCTCCCCTCCCGCAGGGCTTGTCCGGGGAGCGGAGGCTGATGTCGGAGCCCACCCCGGGGTCGTCCAGCCTGCTGCACTCCGCCACGAGCGTGGGCGCCAGGAGGGTCGGCAGCGGCGGCCCGGAGGGCCAGCCATCCGTGCGGAAGGCGCACTCCCACAGGGGCCACATGACGTCGTACCTATTCAAGCCGCTGGGCGGCGGCGACAGCCAAAAGAGCATGAGCCCGCGCTGAGATGAGGGCCGGGAGGAGGGGAGGGGAGCACCCTTCGCTGTTTGCCGGGGAGGCTTGTGGAGCCCGGGGCGCGTGGCCGGGCGGCGCGGATACGCGTCCCCTTGGGCGGATTTGCGCGATGAATCGGTGTGAAGAGTTGGTGCTGGTTGCGCGTCGGCGGGTCGGCCCCCGTGTGGTGCCCGTGTGCTCGTGCTGGGCCTCGGCCTTGGTGCGCGTGGGTCGTTGGAGGGTGGTCGGGAGCGCTGCGCGTTGGCTGGCGCGGACAGGGCTGCCCGGTGGCGGGTGGAGCCCGTCTGGCGGCCCCATTGGTCGGCATTAATTAGATTCTGACGGCGGGGGCGGAGGACTTTCGTGGACGGGAATATTCCCTGTGGCGTGCTCTCGAAATTGATTGGCGAGCGAGTGTGTTGGAAAAATGCGCGTTTCTCCCACTTCGGGCGCTCGGGGTGTTGTGCTGTGGCGCACGGGCTTACAGCGCGCAGTGAGCGTGTCCAACGGTGCTCTGGAGGTGGGTGAACTTTCACTGCGAATAACGCGGGGAAAAGGCAAGTTTTGTTGTCGGTGGCCTGCTCATTTTGCTCTTTTCCGTTGCGGGTTGGAGAATGCGGATTGGACAACGATGGGTGCATTTCCGCTGTAACATACTGGACAGTTTTGGCTTTCTTGGTGCAAGGACGTGGGATTTGCAGAGCGAAGAACCTGAGCCACAGTCCAAATTGATTCGTTGGGGACTGAACTGGCGTTTTGGTTGCAATGAGGCCATCCAATCAAGTGTCGAAACTGACACACAAGCCCAGCCAGGTCCGTCCCACCCTCCCCTCCCATTTTCCTTGTCAATCCGTATGTCGGATGCCAGTATGACTAAGCGAGAGTACCTAGCAGTGTGACACAAAATAAAGACGTTTTCAAGAAGGTAAACAGCCAGCGTTGGAGAGGTTGCAGAGTTTGAACAATGGGATGCTTGAAGCGAAGGCATGTGATGAGGGCGGTACCACAGGGTCAATTGGGCCATTCGGGGCCCTCCTTGAAGATTGAACGTTTGAGGAAGGTTTTGGAACAAACTGAGACTTGTTGGCTACTGATCAATGACGGTTTGGGACTTTCCTTAGCTTCTGTCTATTTCGTGGCAGGTACATATATTCATAGCCCTTTCAATTTGATGCCATACATACCGAAATCGGCATAATGTGGTGCCTTATCCGTTGTAGTGCAAGCCAAAAATGCACCATGCCGCCGACGTTCGCTTCAGGGGCATACCAGCGGCTTCAGGCGCACAGCAACACTGCCTAGTTCCCTACTTTCTCGTCGTGTGTGCGTCGATTGAGCTGCCCCACTGCCAGTTTTCCTGTTCCTGGGGACAACTCTAGTGAACCCGCACACATTTGTTTGTTAAAGTTCGACGAACCACTACACATGCAAGTTGCCGAGCAACGAAGGCCTGGGAACGGTGATTGTCACAATGCTGTCTCGTGCTACCCAAAAGCATGTTTGAGGGGCCTGATCAACCCACTCGTTCGAACGGTTTTGTGCTTTGCTTCCCACTGCCTCTTGGAACGACACAAGAGGGGCGTGGTGGACTAGGAGTCATCCTGACCGTCACACATGCCAGATATGCATGAGGGTGAAATCCTATGGTGCAGATGGTCCCAGATCACGAGTTCTAAAACTTATTCACAGAACACACTATGCCACAAAATTGCTGTCTGACAAGTCTGCATGCCCTTGTCAAGATGAGGAGTTAACGAAAAGGAAGCGCAGAAACACCTCGCAAAAGCTTTACGGCAACATGCTCTGCATGATGGCAAAGATGAAAACGCCAAGAATCCCCTACTGGCACCCATGACGACTATCCGGGTACATCCATTCGTCCAAGGAGGCGACAGGAGGCGCTGGTTACATCACAGCCATGCCACCCTGCTCTCCTCAGCAGTAAAACTCAACCTAACCCTCACATCTACCACACCACATGGCAGCAGCAGGCAACTAGCCAGCCCCTACCACAAACTTCAACTCTGCTGCCCAGCAGCAATCAACCAACGCATCTGCTACCCCTAGCACCATTCCCAACCCATTACCTCGAGCAAATTTCTTGGACGCATGCATGCCCATCATCGTGCAAGATGATGGCTCTCCATCGCCAAGACAAATGCAAAGGCGAAACAAAAGTAAGTATCCCCGTCATCGCAAACAATACGGCGACCATCTGCACATGATTTCCATGCCCCCGAGCACCAACAACGTCGCCAGGGCCCCAAGGGCCGTTCCCATCCATGGACCTCGTGGATAGGCGTGCTGCAGGAACGGCCACAGTGCAGTACACGAGACATAAACGAGTGCTGCTCCTGTCGCAGCGGAGGTTTTTCCCACAGTGTCCGTTGGGTCGACTGGCACATCATGGACGCCCAGGGGATGACCCAGGATGGAAGCGAGAGCGGACAGCACCGGCAGGGCCACCAGGATGCTGGCCAGAAGCCACCGGCGCTGGTGCGGCAGAGCAAAGAGGAGAGTGGCCAGGCCGATTGCGGTTCCTAGAAGAGCCCCTGGAACGCAACACAATAACGAAACTGAACAAAGGAATCGAATACATATCACATCAACTACATTCTTCAACAGGTGGATCCATCAAGTTTGCTATTGTTTCCCACGTGCATTGCTGAAGTAATATTAATGTGCGAGTGCTGGACATGTGACCTCAGCGGGCCTGGGGCAGCATCAGTTGACACACACAGGATCCCGCAGAAAGCCGGCCCCCCAAGCTACGTCCAATGCAAACATTATAATGCTGTGCTCAAACAGCAAGGGCGCCCTCTGCTGTGAGGGAATGTGACAGGCATGCAAGCCTCATACCCCAGGGACAGGACTCTGAACCTAGTCCTTCATACATGTCGTATAGTGCAATCGCACATATCAGATGTTTAACAGGGCAATTGTCATGCACCCAGGCATGAAGTGATGCACAGCATGTAGCACACCATCATGCGATGTGGCAAGGATGAACGAACATAAATTTGGAGCAGACAGCACGAGCCAACAATAAGCATATTAAGCAGAGACATGCTGCTACACAGGGTACTCTGTGTTGCGTGGCATACAAGTTGCATCCAGGCACTTCTGTGCTGTTTTACAAGGCATTGAACTTCAAAATTTCGCCTGGAAGGGTCTTTATCAAGGGAGGAGTTGATGGGGGAGGGTGGAATTGTATGGAATGCTGTCCATTCCATCCATATAACAACCTCCTGTGCACCCCCTACAACCCCAAACCAAGATCATTGAGGCTCATTTGTCAGTACGTTGGAACTTGGGCTTCTATGTGCACTATTATGACACCATTGCACGCTGCTGACACTCTAAACTATCCCTGCATCGCTGTTCAACGGCAACATTCGACGTCACACACTTCTGTTTCACCAAATGTGTGACGCTACATTCACCCATTCAGACGGTCACCTGTCAGTGCTGCAGGAAGCAACAGATGTGACACTTCGCCACCCCTCAACACCATTGCCCTTGCCAACCTCAAACCCTCCACTACACCCAGGGCACCAATGGAGGCCAGGCACACAGCCAACGCTGAGAATGTCTGGGGCTTCACGCCAGGCTGTGGGGGCCACGTGCGGGGAAGCTCCACTGGGGGGTCCGGATCGTAGCCCTGCTCAACCTTCACACTTACAGGTGAAGTATCGGCCCCCTGAGGCTGACAACAAGCAACGCTCCATCAATGGCAGGTGTTGGAGAGCTCCAATATTTCCCACAAGCTTGCCCAATTCTTTTGTTTGACTGGCTGCCATCTCACCTTTCTCACTTTGGGACGATGTCTTGAGCGTGACAATGCTCCCCTTGCAACATAATGACACTTGTGCTTGCTGCGTCAACTGCTGCCATATGCATGCATACTACCTTTACATCACAAGTTGAGGGTTGCACAAACCCCACCAAAGCATGGTACAGAGCTATGCCTAGATGAACCTGCATTTCTCTGTCAATCGAGTGGCTGGGCATACTTTCTGATGCACCCTTCAGGCAGTAAACTCCACAGGGTTGAGAGGTACAAACTCATGGACAATCTTGCACATATCCACCCACATCCCATTCAATGTGCACCCCCTCTCCATGAACTGCCCCAACACTTGTAGTGCTGATATGAACAAGAACGGAGAGGCTCCCAAAACAAGTCGCTCATTTGTAGAAGTTTTCATGCACTATATGCAGGACTATGGTGGGCAACTGTCACACAAGGGAGATTCACCTGTGGAGAGTGGGTATGCATCCACACAAAGAACTTGCAAGCATTGGCACAATGTGCAAGCAGGTACCAAGCGAGTGCCTATCACATGATACACATGTGCCCACCTTCCCAATCAACTGGGTGCCAGGGCTGGTGCACCCATGAACAGCTTGCACGTTGTGCCAACTATGCCTATCATCACTTTGCAGTTGCAATGGCGCAGTTCCCCAGATTTCCTTGCTCCCCTTACAAATAAGACAACGAAAGCACAGGTGCTGCCTCAGGGCGCAAAGCTTGCCCATGCAGCCATACATATCGGCCAGTACCAAGAAACCTCTCGTCCCTTGAGCCATCAGCTTCACCATTGGAAACAACATTGGACATGCTGCAGAATTGCATTGCATTTCCTTCCAAAGAGCAAAGTAGGTGCCATGCTCACCTCCTTTGCAGTCTCTGCACTTATCACAGACCGCACACCAGCAGTGATGCCAATGCCAACAAAGCACCACAGGATTGTCACAGCGATGGGCTCCTTGCCTGCAAGCAGTTCCCTCAACACAAGGGTGCATCCCCAGCCTGTCTTGAGCCCGACCAGCAGGCCTTGGAACACAGGGCGAGCTGGCAAAGACATGGTGAGGAATATCACCACAGCAGTGGGCACAAGGAGGGCTGGCAACAAAGCGGCAAATGCGGGCCCAGCTGCCCTCACATCCGCCTGGATCGGTGAACCAAGCTGACCATCATTTTCAAGCTGGGCCAGAATCATTCTCATACCCTCCAGCCTGCAGCCAGATACAACAATGTCATCAAGTCTGTTGGTACAACGATTTTGCTGTTCTCACACTGTCCATAAAGCCTTGTACTGCAACAGCTGAAGTGCTGCACAGACCTGCCACCAAGTTGTGACAAAATGTGTGTTTAGGCATTATGAGATGAACGAAGAAGGTAAACGAAGAAGCACTGTCCAGCCTAGAGAGAAAGTTGAAGGGTATCAATACCAACCACAATCTGTGTTAGCTCCTATGAAACCAACGCTATGGACAATCACTTGCCATACCTGCTGTAAACAGCAATCCAGGAAGGAACAATCAGGGTACATCTCTAAGGCCAAAAAGCAACGGTCTCAAGCATGTGATGCAGTTCCACAGATCGCACAGTTTCCACACATAAGCATACAGCATAAAGCAGCCTTCTCAAAGTGCTGCAGCTGTGTTCACAGAACATTTGACAAGAAGACACGTTTTGTTGTGTTCGAGATTCTGGTAGTCACGGGAATGTACTGACAATCACATTTCATCACTGTTGTCCATGTCAAACTACAAAGTATGTGATACTTGACCCTGAAGTATCAATTAACATGCTGGGAAGACCAGGATACTTCAGGACAACGAGACACATCAGAGCTGGGCGATCGCCAAGGCATGACGACTGGCCACCAGACAGCTCACCATGCAGCTGATAGAGTTGCCGCTGTGGCTACTCTCCCAGGTTTTACATTTTCCAGTGCATCAGGGATGAGCTCAGAGAACACAACCCAAATCATGCTGCCAGCTGCAAAGCCCATTGCCACTGGTAAACAGGTTGTGAACGCCTCCACGAAAAGAAAAGCAGGGACTGCTGCCTGGCACCAAAGCAACACACGAGTAATGCAAAATAAGCCAATTACTGCCTGGACAACACCCAGCAACAGATGGCATAGCCTCAACAAGTGCACATCAGGTCTGTGCCCTGTGCAGCTGCAATGAGACTTGATGGCATGGAGAGCAACACAATCGATGGACAACTGCATTCTTGCCTGGTACTGCTATAATGTACTCCTGCGCTTGCTTACACGCTGCTGAGCAACAACACCAACAACATAAAGAAGCTTCAAGTCATCAATCAATTTACCTTCCAACACACAACATCCACGCGGGCTAAGGCCCAACATCCGTGAACTAATATGAGGGCAGTATTCTGCTGTATTGTGAGAAACGTAGAAAACGCAAAATGCAAGGACAACGCACACCAGTCTCCCTCAGCAAGCCGAACACCCCTATGTGTAGGAACAGCCTCCCCTGGCACCGCACCAGGGTCTGTGGCAAGGAACTATAGATGCTCCACAGCAGCGCCTGTCCCACAGATTCCCCCATGGAGACCATCACTGTGGCCACAGCCAGGCCTTCGGGGATGTTGTGGAGGCCGATCGCCAATGTGACCAGGACACCTCGGGACCAGCCCCGAGAGCCCGAGTAGGACACCCCAACGCCAGCGCCTTCGCCAATGGCATGTGCTGCCATCACGCCAATCACCAGCAAGATCTTGCGAGCACCTGAACCCTAGGGCACCAGTAAAGATGTCAATTCTGATCTGACCAGATCGATATCATCGCATTCACAGCAAATGCACTGGATTGCAAATGCCTTACTTTGTTTCTAAACCAAACAGCGACATAACGCAATGCAGTGTGATGTACCCTTTCAGCGAACAAATGCACCAATAGCAGCAGCTACCAGATGTTGATGCCTCTACTGTATGGTCTCGTTGGGGTGATCAGCTGTGTTCTTGGAGAAGCAGTTATTCACCCAGCACTGCCTGATGTGCAGTGTTGAGGGCAGTGCTTTGTCCCATTCTGGACAATGCAATCGTATCGAACATTGAGTGTGGTCGATCTGCACTTTGTCTCCCCTGATGCTTGCAAGTTTGCTGATCCATCAGCCAGGCTTTGGGCAGACAGACTGTCAGAGGCCCACCATACAGCCCAGGGGCAGGCAACAATACGTGAAGTCTGGCCTTTGTTTCCTTGCATGTGTGTGGCCAATAGTTTGCCTGTTCTGTCACATTGCAAGGAATATGACACAGCCCTGCAGGTGCACCACTCTGACCCTCTTTTCGAGGGTGCAGCTGCGTGAAGCAAGACTGCTTTCCTGTGATAGGGAGCTCTTGGTGACAGTGCACCAATGACAGCACAGTCAGCTGTGCAATGACACCACTGTTTCTTTCCACACTGCTGGCAACATTTGTTCATGAGAGAGAATTGCTTGGCAGAGAGCTTGACCAGCAACAAGACATGCTGAGCTGTCAATCTCACCTCCAGAACGCCAAATCTGACATTTTCATACGCCTCCAGATATGCTTGGCTGTACTTTATGAAGAGCATGCCCACGATAATGCCCAGCACAACTAGCATGGGCCCATAGGGCTCCCCTTCGTGCAACAGGTCAAAACTTGCTGCCAACATTACCCCACAGGCGATGGCATTGGACAGGCCAACAAGCTGCTTGGACATCTTCTTCACAAAATAGAATGGCACAGCACCCAGGCCACTGGCTACTGCCATTACAAGTGTGTTCCAAAACACTGTGACCGTAGGAACACTCATAATAGTTGCAGGCACGTCTCTTGCAGCACCTGTGCGCCCCACAACAGCAACATCAGTGCTAGAGAACAGAATAGCACGAAAATACCACTGCATAAACAAAGCTTGAATTGAGTAAACGCTGCTAATTCTTTACAACTGGCAACTTTGAGCCACAGCAAGTACAAGAACGTGGCACGCTGCAATCTGACTTTGTGCCTAACACTATTGCCATGGCATAAGCATGGCAATGCATTAACCACGATCTTCCAGGCAAACACACAATATGCAGCAGGTGCAAATTGTCAAGAGCAGGCTGTGCTGTCATCACAACAAGTGCATGCAAAAGTTCCGCACGCTGTTCAATGGCCCATGCAATGATCCAGTTTGTGGGAGTTCTGACTTCTTGTAGGGCCTCAAACTTCAATGCAGCTTGTGTAATCAACCCGCATGCCAGGGTGCCGTTCATCCGCACCAGTTTGGGGCTGTGTCAGATCTTTGTGTCTTCCTTGTGCTACATCGGCAAGCGTCGACAGGACCACTGGCAGCACGTCTGCCTTATCAGGCCTCCAAAGATCATCTACCTCATTGAGGCCCCCTTGATCTGGGAATAAAGATGACATGCTGGTCGTCAGCGTGATCGCTGCTGTTGCAACAGCGTCCAACAGCTCAAACAACACATGTGCCACATGTTGTACGAGGTTCACAGCTTAACTGCTGGTAAGTATCCAGTGCAACCAACACTCTTGTAGTGAGTGCCCATCTATCCCAAGATATGCAACGCAATACGACAGGAGACTCCTTTGAGCAACTGTCTTTATGCCCCTTGGTTTTAGGCGAGGTATTTTAATTCCAAGCAACACAACAGCAGCAGCTGGTTAATCACACAGCAAATGGAGATGACAATGGGAATGTGACAATGGGAAATATGAGCAGAATATGGGAAGTATGAGATTGAGAATGGAATATGAGTTGGCACCACATGAAACCAGACCACCAGTGTTTCTGGCCAGGTGCGAAGAAATCCACACGGATTGCAACATGACAAATCACTGGCCATCCACCTATCGAATGATGTCTGGGGCTTTTCACACTATGGTTTGGACATTTGCGACGAGTCCTGCATACAAGGCAGGCAGTGGCGATCTACTCGCCTTGCCCCTCCATGTGCCTTCTCCCCACTGCTTTTGCAGATCACATAATGACTATTCCATGCAAGTGTCCCTGGCTCCAAGCGGGTCTATCACAAGATGAGCACTTACCAGATGTACAATAGTGTCCCCACAGCTGATAGGGAAGCAAACTTGTTCTGCTTTCTGATGATATGGTAATCCACAGGTGTGGGACGGCATGGCCCTACATTGCAGTGTTCATGCCGTTGAAGAAAGTTGCAATTCCTGAGCAAGTTTATTTGGCAACTGGCCATTTCCTGGATGTGACTACCATATCCTAGGTATGAGTATCCAGGTTATGGACACATCCTATTCCTGAACACGGACGCCACATTATCCTGGATGTGGCCGTCTGCATAAGCATGGGTGTCCATGCATGACACAGGTAGTGGCCCGCATTGGACTGATTTTGAACGTTTTCAGTTGCCTTGCCGTTCTTCGCTTCTTCTACCATGAATGCCGGGGGAATGACGTCGACGAGTGTCAAGTTCCAAGGCTCAAGGAGAGGTGACAACACAAATCACAGAACAACTCGTGGCGAATCCCACCTTTTTGCTGTTCGACATTGTCACCCTCCCGGAGAGACATCTGTCGCCCGCCCTCCAACACCGCTTTGCCGCCCGAAGCATCCAAAACCTGCGGGGCGCATCCATCAGCAACCATGCCCCAGGCATTGACGAATCAAGAGCCAGTCGCTCCAATCAAACGCCATCGAGAACCCAACAAGCAGCAAGAGGCGGCGCGTGGCGAAGTGTGGCGACGACTGGCGATGGTTGCACTAACGCACGCCTCGCGATCACCTATCCCCCAGCCCAATTCCCCCCCCCGCGCAATCCCTGGACCAATTCAACACGCCCCAACGGACGCCCAGCGGGCGCGTCCGCCCGCATTGTTCCCCCGCAACCGGCCTCGCGGCGCGCCAGCGGCCGTTCGAGATGCCGCGGCGATCGAATAAAAGCCGCCGGCGACCTTGCCTGCTGACTCCGTGCGCCGGCGAGGCACTGCGCGACGGCGGCGAAGACGATGGTTGCTGCCCAGCGGGCCCGCCATGCCTTCATTCCCCCGCGCCGCGGCTCGGGCCTTGGGCAACGAAGCCGACGCGTGACTCCCACACCCGGCGGCAGGCTGTGGTCGGTGCGCCGCGCCGTCGGCAGTTGGAGCTGCGCCCGTTTCGGTGGCAGCGACCCTTTGGACCCCCGGGCGTCGGGGGAGCGTCTCTCCGGGCGGGATACCGCCCCTGGATTCCTCCACACCCTCTGGATTCCCTCCTTCGTTTGGGTGAGTGCATGGAACGGGTGATTCTTTGTAGTAGTTGGACTCCGCTCATTGTTCTGGCCTCGGGACCTTCATGGACAAAGATGGCATGGACGTCTCTGTAGCGGATGAGCTGGAGCCCCTTGGATTCCTTTACCTCATGAGCGCACAGCAACGGCTGCGCGAAAATTATCAACACCTACTTCAGAGCGACACGGTGCGGCAGAGGCGTCATTGAGAGGTGCAAGGAAATTTGGGTGGAGGGGAGCCGGAAGACTAAACTGAAGATTCCGTGAGCAGTGGGCGGTGACGAAAGTGGCGAAGAAATGAAGTAACAACTTTGTTATGAGCGTCTGGTGAAGCCGACGTTGCATGAAAGGCCCGGCAGTTTGAAGCGGGGGCCAGCTTAGTAAGGGCACTTCTGGCTCAGCTCTTTGGTTTTTTGCTCCATCGTACTTTGGGTCAGTAAACATCCGAGGCTTTCCAGGGTGACCAATGGAAGCTTGGCAACCTTGGAAGTGGCGGGATTTGAAGGTTTTGAGCGGTGGCATCTAATCAGGAGCCACCCTCGGTCACAACTCTATAAGAGGAATGCCTTGCTTTGCTCATGTCCTTTCCCGCCCAAAACGAGTTAAGGTTGCTTTTGGTGTGGAAGGAGGCAATTATTAATTCCTTAGAGCATAGGAGTTGGATCTGATTCAGGGTGAGCGGCAGCCTTGCATTAGCTTGGCTAGTAAGCTCCTTGTAAGTAGTACTAGCAAAGAGACTGGGGCCGAATTCTTGTGGGAGCCTCGGAATATGAAAGTGACGGGCAGACACATTATCTTAGGCTGCTGCAGTTGCACTCCTGATTGCTCACTCCAACTGCTAAGAGCATCTTTATCGGTCGGTGCTATTGCACCGGCGGAGCTATCCAAGAACGGTTCTCATTAGCTGCCATGCCACCTTACTAAGGTGGCATTTGCCGAATAGCACCGGTGCTATTGCTCCCCTGCGCACATCCGCAATGGTGGGTGCCATGCCTACGCCAAATAGCATCACTGCAGCATTGCAATGTTCTGCACGAATAGCACCGGTGCTATTCTGGGGTGCTATTCGGCCCCAAACGGTGCTATTTGGGGCCAAAATAGCGCCGCTCAGTGCCGAATAGCTCCGGGGGTGCTATTGGGGTGCTATTGCTCCCCAACCATTAATGATGGTTTTTTGACGTGCGGTGCTATTCGGATAGCCGAATAGCTCCGCCGGGACAATAGCACCCACCGATAAAGATGCTATAAGTGGATTGTGAATGTGCCGGGTGAAGGGGAGTTAAGCGCACCTCCCAACACTCGGCAGCAAGACACACACTTCGATTGCAAGCAGCGCAAATTCGACACAGTGGAGGCCAGTGTGGACCGCGTTCCTGGCCCAATTGGGAAACAATGCCTCATGCGCAAGAAACATCAACAAACTGAGAGTTCAATGATCGACCAACAATTAGATCCCACAACGTTGTCTCTCAAAATCTGGGTGCTCACTGCCTGCTTCACGACCAACAATCCACTGGCACATACCCAGCTTCCAAAATTGCTCCCCCACATTTCGAGCTTCTGCACCGCACACAACGCCAAGCTGCCCCTGTCCGCTAGTGTGCTGCCAAGAACGCAACCGCACTGCACATGCAGCATCGGCATCCTATCCCTGGTTCCCAACCAACGCCCGAATTCATCTTCAAAAGAAGGCCACAGACCCTTCTTGCCAATCAAGATCATCCTGCCCACCTCTAAACGAACGTACAGCCATCAGCTGCTCCCAATCGGACAGTCAGTTAGCACCATCCTTTAGCACAAGCTAGTACAAGGCTTGTAAAGGGGACGCTGCTGCGTGAACACCAGTCCATTCGTCCACCAGCCGAAAAAGCATTCCGGCATGATGCTTTTAGTTGCTATTCTTCGAAACCTGTGTGCTTTTTCTGCGACCCCTCAGAAGTATCTTGTCTTGAAGAACAGGATGGAGATAATATTGAAGATGATAAAGAAGCTTGCCACCAGGAACAGGAAATCTGTGACCTGCACCACGATGCGGGCCCGCCCTCGGCAAATTCAAAATCGAAGAATACATAATTGAACACCTTCATCTAAGGATTGGGAAAAAAAACGTGAGCGTTCATCATGATGACATCAGTGGGGCACATCTGCAACTGTTCAACATCAACACAGACCCAGCAAGAGAGGAATACACATTTTGCAACGGCTTGTCTTTCAGCGTTTGCAAATACTGATACTCGGTCTGCACCGTGGGGTGGTAACAATGGCCACAGCACCAAAGTTCCCACAAGTCATGGTGGAATAGATACACTCATGATGATGCACATAAATGGCATTGATTGACAGGTGTCTATCATCTCAAACGAGAGCTCAATTCAAGAGAATTCAAGACAACAGAAAACGAGTATCAACACCAGCGGACACATCTCGCTCATCTAACTCTCAAATTGGTAAATTCACTGGACTGTATGTTTCTCAGACTGCTGGCTGTTTTATTTGCAACTACACAAGCGGTCTCCTCTGCAGTACCGCCCCAGTGCTACGGCAATGCTACGGCAATTACAACACCGAACTTGGGGTTTTTGGCTGCAGTTGGTACTGCTTGTACCACATCACGAAAGTACTCTTAGTCACGGCACACTTCATCTTCGCTGGGGGTGCTTTTCCTGTCTGCGACTTGTGCATTATCTGCACTGTGTGATATTGAATCTGAAACAAAACCTTGATCAAAAACCTCGATCAAATTGTATGGCACGCTCTCCTGTTCTGCAACAATATGCATGCCATCAACAAACACTCACCTTGGCTTTCGGATTGAGCGAAGTCCTGTACACAATGAAGATCAGGTAGAGCAAGATGGGAGTAAACAGGAAAGCTCCCTGCGAAGAGAATATTTCTCCCTGTAGAAACAAGCATGGCACACACAGCTGTCAGATCGTGGCTTTCGAGCTGGTGCCTCCTGTTTCATGCCAGAGGAGAGTCAGTGCAGATGAGCTCACAGTGCCCAATGAAATGGGTTGTCCATTGAATTTTGGTGTCAAGTGCCCACATTAACCGGAAGTGATATACACAGCTCCTGATTTCGAAATGGAACAGGTCAACCAATGATGAGCAGGTGATGTTGGCAAGCAAATCACACCCAAAACATGAATACGAACCGTCAATTGCTTGTCAACATAAACAGAAAGCAGGCCTCCCAGGCTTAGCATATGCACACTCATGCTCCATCCGTTTGTGGCAGTCAAACAGCACCACCACCAGCCTGAAGCTGATGCACACTGACTTGAAGAATGTCTATGAACACTATCCGCAGACAACTTCGCAGGTGATGCAGGATAACCAACTTCCGAAAGTTAATGAAGACCTGAACCCAGCCTTCACTATTATCCCTTTTGGCTCCAATACTGCCTGTTTCACACAACAGCGGTGGTAGAGAAAAGAAATCCTCACATACCAAGTCGCCATGTTACAAACTGTCGATCCAACTACACCTGGTGCACTGATGATAAGGGATGGCCGTTCGTGCCTGTTGAACACATATCCCAAGCCTTACTACAGTCCTGCCCAATCAGCACCTACCGCTTGCGCGACAACATCACCAGAGGCAGCTGCTGCCGTTTCTCCCTCATCTGCCAATGCCTGAGCCCAGGGATCCATGGCCATTGCAGACAGTGCAATGAACCCTACTGCGAATGCCCCAGTCCTCCACTCCCCAATTGGTAGCCACCGATGAGCAGCAGACCCTTCCTCATCAATTTCCAGTATCGCTTGCCGCAGGTTTTCTGCAGACTGCCTGCTCAGCCTATCAAAGGAGTTGTCATCCTGTGCAACAAAACTGACATTTTCCACTCGGCCTGTCATGCAAGTTGCCTGTTCTTGTGCACAGTTCTTTTCGACCCCCTGTGGGGCGTCAAGCTGCTGCATGCAAGAGAAAAATGGTACTGCGTTTGTGTGGTACACGAGCTTGAACACGCTGCCTCTTCAGCTTATTGAGTGTGGACTTTTCTTGCACTTGCCACCAACAAGAAAGGACCATTGACAGGACTGAAGGCACGACATGGTGATGGAAAATATTCTCAAAAGCAAGATAAGCAAGGCCACCTCCATGAGGGGGAGCACATCGTGCTCATCCATATCAATGCAAGATGTTGCCAAAAGGCCTCTGGGAATCTGGGGGCAGGTATGGTATTTGTCGTTGTCAGTTGTCCTGGGGTTTCTTTGATGTCAGTTGCTTGATATGTTTCCATCGCATGCACATTTTTGAGAAACGGAGCATGAGTTCTACGTGCCTATAGCCATTATTTCACGCACAGAACGACCGTATTTTGTTCCAGCCACTGAAATTTCCAAGTCGAGTCATTTTGGCTGCTAACTGTGCCGTTATGCACAAGGGTGCACACATCTGTTTGGTCACAAGCAGAGAATGCACTACAAACAAATGGCACTTCCATGGTGACCTTTGAGCACTGCATTTTCGTGTTTCCCTCCCCAAATTAAGCGTGCTGCATTCATTCAGCTGTGCACAAACTGCGTTCAATCAAAACAGTTAAAGTCGAATCAGAATGTGCCTAATCCCGAGTAGGAGGCAGCGGCATGCTGGGCAGCTGCCCTATTCACCCCAACGCACAGCAACTCTGCACCACAGTCATCACACCCCGTTGTGTTTTGCCGCAGCATGGCAGCCATCAATCAACAATCCAGACAGGATGAACCAACAAGAGCGAGCAGCGCCAACAACTGCACCAGGTGCACAAATCGCGGCGATCCTCTGCGGCTTTACGGATGGTGCTACGCCTTCTTTTTAACTTCTAGTTCACGAGCCATGACGCGCGGGGCCCCTCACCCCGTCTTCCTCAGTGAAGAATCTCTTTTCGAGCACCGCCCGCTCCTCCTTGCGTCGCCAGAACTTTTTGCGCACCGCACTCCGCTCAAGGGTGTTGATCGGCGATTGGGCCGTCTTCGCCGTGGGAAATGCCTTCGCCCTAGCGAATCCGGACCGGTGGCCGTGTGAGCACACATGCAGGACTCGAGAGACGAAATGCGCAACACAGCTCAACTGCAGACCAGACACTGTGACAAACTTTTCGCCTAAGGGCCGGTTCTGCGCATCCGAGTGGGTTTTGTCGCTGTTGGCGGTCAGCCCCCCCGAACACCATTTGTCGCACCAAAGACAATCCTCCGTTCGTGATGACGCGCACGATGGCCAGGCGCGGGTCTGCAGACGGGCGCAGACGCAAGAAATGGCGACTTTCAGTCTGGAACGCCCGCGCACAGTTCCCAATCGTCTCTGCCACACACCGGCAGAAACAACAAAAGCGCGGCGAGGCGCGACGTCCGTGCAACTTTTCACGGGCCACACACGCCGCGCGGCCGGCGGGATCAGCGGATCTAGGACTCAGTCGCGCTCACCTGCTCAGAGATGGGGAGCGCGATCCGGATGGGGCGGGCGCCCCCGCACTGGAGGGCCCTCTAGCGGGCCGCACCCCCTGAGTTCTCACGCTGCCCGCAGCTCCGCCCATCGCGATCGCTCCACGCGCCCGGCCGCAGGCTTTCGCGTCGCGAATCGCGGCGAGCCGGCGTTGTGGCGGGCGGGGGGCGGAACGGGCACGGCGGGCTTTGGCGTCGCAGGGCGGCGGGCGCGTCGATCTCAACCCGGAAATCTGGGACAGCGCCAGGAACTCGCCCGATCTGCTGCGCATCAAGGTGGGTTGGCACGGACTCGTAAGGCAACGCGTGGGGCTGACGGTGCTCTTCGGATACATTGACAAACCGCGCTGGCTGTACGACATGCCGTGTGAGCGTTTGGATGGAGAAGTGGAGACGCTCAAGCTGATTGTTCAGAGACAATCCTGTGTCTTTCTTCCCGGTTGTGTGCATCCTTTGATTCGTTCATACAAAGAGAAATGAAATCGTCTTTTAAAATCGATTGGGCGTCACTCACCTCAATCTCGCAATTGATTCAACGAACACCAACAAGGCTAGGAAAACTGAAGGTCGGCACAGTTCCGTTGTCCACGCCCGCTTTGGCCTTAGGGGCCAGTGTATGGGCTACCCTTTTAAAATTGCCCCCTGTTCAGACGCAACGTCGGCGGTTCTTGAAACTCTTGACTGTAATTCTTGAAGTTTCGAATGAACCCCGTCATTGGGTTCAATGTTTCTGTTGACGCAATGCTGAGGCCGCCATTGCCTTTCATCCCCTTGGAATGTGCTTGTGCAACGATCTGTCGAGCTCTTGGCGACAGTTTCAACGATGAGCTGACGGGGGACCTAGTAGGTGATATCAACAGTCCGTTGTGCGCCTCGCCTTTCCCTGCGATTCCGATCGAAGCTGTCTGTGCAACACATGTGCCATCATTGCCATGAGCGTGTTGTCTCAGAGACCTCACAAATTTAATTTCTTGTAGCACAGCTATGTTCTGTAATGTTCTCTGCAGCCACACCTGCGGGTATACCGCCAATATTGAAGGCACGCTAGACGGGGCACCGACCACCCACAAAATAAACGACACAAGACACACCAAAATAGAAAGAAGTTGCAGCACAGTCGATGCTGGTGGCAAAGGCCCTGCACCCCACAGCAACGCCACAAACCCAACTCTACCGCCCTGTCAGGTTCCCCTCCTACGGCATGCATGCAAGAAAAACACGACTTGGACTTGCAAAATCTGTGGCGATCCTGATGCCTTCAGGAACAGTACAATGCAAAAATCGGTGACTGTGCATCGAAGCCAACAAGGTCCTCTACGATGGAGAGGTAAGAATGAAGTGTGCACCCAAACCATGCAATGCATGCTTAATGCTCCAAGCTCTTCTAGGACCACAATTGCCATCATATTTCCTTTGTCTAGAGAAGTGCCATGTATGCAAACAAGCACCTTGCACCATGCACACGCACCACGCTTGTGTTCCCCATTCTATCAACTCATATCGTCGACGTGCAGCGCAGCCAGCAGGCACTTTGCAACAGTAGCCCTACCTGGATTGCCACAAATGCGATTACCACACCTTTTGCAAAAGATTATCCTCTCAAACACAGCTATTTTGGAACACTGTGTGCTACCAACCTCTCGTTGAAAATTGTCAGGTCATTTTCTAGGTCTGGACCACGAAGGTGTTTCCTCAAGAACGGCGCGTGCAGGTGAAAGGAGACAATGCAATTGTGAATGCCCTGCCTTTCCTTGCTGATTTTCAGAAGAAAGCATCACAGAAACAGATCTGAACACCTCAGCGGAGGGTTCCACAACCCGCCTCCAACTACCTAAAATGCTGCGGGAGCAACTCCGCTCGCCGCCTGGGTTCCATCCATCCCAAAGCATTGCACGCCCCGATGCACAGATGAACAATAAAGCAAGGATATGTACCCCCAATTCCGCACCCTCGGTCCCTGCCGACCGCTCCCCTCGCAGACGCGCAGCGGCCTCGTCGCTCCCTTCGACCCCGCGCAGCGCCGTCAGAACTCTTCCAGGCAAACGAACTCGTCGTCCTCCATCACCCGGACCTCCCGGCACCCGGGTATGTGCTCCCGGAACTCCCTCAGCAGCGCCGCGCCCTCCTCCCTCTTCTCCCGGCACAGCGGCACGTAGGGCAGCCTGAAGACCGGCCGCGCTAGGCCGCACATCGCCAGAGCTGTGTTGAGTGGGATGGGGTTGGGTTCGCAGAACAGCCAGGCCATCAGCCCCTGCAGGCTGGCCGCCAGCTCGGGCTGCGGCCCACCGTGCATCAACCTTGAAAACAACCCGGGTACCAAATTGCTGGTGACTGAGATCACACCGAAAGCACCGTGGTTATGCCTCGCTTCGTGTGCCTCGTCGTCGTTGCCCGACCACGACCCAATGCCCTTATCCGCCCGCGCGGCGATCCTCGCATTCCCCGTGCACTCTTTCACGCCCAGGAAGTTCTTGTGCTCCGCCGCCTCGATAATGACGTCCTCAGGTATGTCCTGGCCCGTGCGGGAGGGCACATTGTACAGGATGCCGGGCCCGCAGGACAGCGCCGCGCGGAAGTGCGCCAGCAGGCCTTCCCGCGAGGTCTTGCCGTAGTACGGGTTGATGTGGAGGGCGGCGTCCATGCCCACGGCGAAGCCCTGGTGGGAGGCGTGCAGCGCCTCGCGCGTGCTGTTGCTGCCCGTGTTGCCGACCACCAGGATCTCGCCAGAGAAGACGTTGGCGGTGTGGGCGATGAGCATGATGTGCTCGTCCCAGGACATGAGGTGGCCCTCGCCGGTGGTGCCGCCGATTATGACGCCGTCCACTCCGGCCTCCACCTGCGCGCGCACCATCGCGTCGAAGGCCACCAGGTCGCATTTCCCGCTGGGCAGGTAGGGCGTCTTGATGGCCGTCAGAAGGGCGGCCTTCCTGATCGCCGGCACGCGCTCCTGCTTCTGGGACGGCATCTCCGGCGCCAGGACGGCGTGGGCGCGGGGACGGCAGGGCGGAGATCTCGGCGTTCGATCCCTCCAACCCACGGCATCCCTGAGGGGGGTGCTGCGGAAGGTCTGGCCCTGCGCCCACATGGCGGCCTCGCTGCGGGGAGGCCGGCGGCGCCTGTTGCCGGGTGGGGAGGGCGGCTGAACGGCGGGGCTGGGGCGCGGGCCCTTCCTGTGGGGCGACTGCACGCAGTGCGGAGTGGCCGCGCCCGGACAGTGACGTAAAGCTGGCAGTACAGGGGCCGACGCGCGTTACTCACACGGTTGACGCCCATTTTGAACAAACGCGGGGCGTTCGAGTTCGTTGGGAAGGTCCGCAGGCTTCGGGAGGTGCCGCTGCACCGTACCGTCGATGGCACTCCTGGGTAGGGGGGCTCGCGGCACCGCCGGCTTGGGCCCCAGACTGCTTCCCCTTGCGCCCGGCATCCACTCCCCGTTTTCCTCCTCCGCGGACGACCGGCCCAGGCAGCCGGCGGCCGTC